TACATATCTTGATGTACCAGGCACAGCTCATGAATGTTGTGATGATGGGGAGGATGGAGCAACCCCCAGGAGCATGGGGGGACCCCCCCATGTGCTCAGCAGTGAACCCAGAAGTGGACCATAAGTACTTCTAGTCCACTTCCAGGTCTGCTGGGGAGCATGTAAGGGGGCCTCACGCACACTCCCCTGGCTCCATGATTGGCCACTGGAGGACCCCTGGTGCCCCCCCAGACCCAAGAGGCACCAGTTGCTGAGCTGGCAGGGCACAGGGTGGGGGGCAGTGCACAGGGTGGACCCAGAAGTGGACTGGAAGTGCTCCTGGCCCACTTTTGGGTCTGCTGCCAAGCATGTTGGGGAGCCCCCCACACTCCTGTGGGATGCTCCATCTGCCCAACATTGCAGCATTCATGAGCTGCCTGGTACCTTGAGGTATGTAGAGATAACATTTAAAGCTGTGTCTATATCCAAATCACCAAATCTTTCTGAACTTTTCCAAATCGATTCAGAGGGTTCTGATTTGATTCGGAGAGATTAAAGGGTCTCCTGGTTTGATTCAGATTCAGAGATTTGGCCACCGAATCAGACTGAATCTCCACCAGATCAAATCAGGGATTGAAGCTTTGCACAGCCATACTGATTAGTTTCAAAAAGCCCTAAGTGGACACTGTTCTCTCTGCCTTTGTTCCAGTGAAATTGGAGACACACATACAGACACCTCTCAGCATTAGCTAGCATGGGGGTGGCATGACCATGACCAGATGCTGGCTGGGGTCCATGTTGCTGGGATCCATGCTGTGGGGGAGGTGAGAGAGGGAGGGAGGGGACCCCTGCTTGAGCAGTGAGCAATGAGGTGGGGGTAGGGCAGAAGGAAGCCAGGCAGATGCTGCTGTGCCTGCAGTCTCCACTTCCGCAGCTCTGGCTATGGAAGAGTGGGCAGGGCCAGCCCTGCTTTCTGGAGCAGACAGCCCAGTCCAGCCCAGGGCTGAAAAGCATACTGGGATGCCTGGGGAGTCTGATTTAACTTAAACCAGGAAGAGGTCTGGGACAGAAGTTCCATAAGCCAGTTCGACCCAAATCAGTTAAGTCTGATACTACATTGAACAACGTTTATCTTAAACCAGTTTTGGCAATTTTGAAACTGATTTATGTGCACTGAATTTATGTTCTGTTAGAGGGTTAAACCAGTCTCTGATCATTTAAACCAGTTTATGTGTAACTTTTGTCCCTAGCCCAGAAGTACTTCTGCAAAAGTTTCATGCAGACAAACAGTGGCTTCCCAGGACCTAGGCAAAATCTATGAATAGCAGGCAATATAGAATTGTGGTCTGTGTTCCTCATGTACAAAGATATGTTCCGTGTGTACCCAATCTATGTTCCAAATGTACAACGATTCCATGCGAGTATTCTCATTACCCCCCCTGCAGACATGAGATTACACATATGATTACTTGGGCTACCGGCTTTTATCCTGGCTCAAACCAACAACGAGGGAGTTTAGAAATGTTGGGAAGAAACTAGAGGCAAGGCTGTGAGGTGGAACAGTGGATTAATCCACTTGACATTTTATTTTAGAGCATAAGTGAAAAGCGATTAAGTTCTTGTTGGAACTGTGAAGTCTATCAGAGTTTTTAATAAAGTTTTAATCAAAAAGTTTAACTTCAATAAGCTGCAGTAATGAAAGTACTGGGTTCCTGCAGAATGGCGCCATAAATGTGACAGAGGTTTTGTCTACAATTCCAAGGTTTATTGAAATAAAGTGACAACATGTAAAGACCCTTTTGAAATCTATAATGCAAGATCACTCACTTGTTAAATACACAGGCTAAATTTACATAAAAATCCAGTATCTTTCTCTCATTGCGAGTTAATTCTGAGGATTGGAATTCAGCTCAGGGTCCTTGAGAAACTAGTAAACAGAGAGATAAGAGCTTTCAGAAATGGAATACTTGTTTAACACTAAATAATTCTCAGAAATGATTAAAACCGTATTTTAAACCCACAGAACTGTATCAAAACCCCATCTCAGAAATACAGTTTATTCTTATCAACATGATGAAATAAATTTAAAATTAAAACCAGATTTAGAATCTAAATGTTAAAATTCTTTAGTGCACAAAAAAACAATGCTGGAAGGTTTAGTACCTGAATAAGTTAAATTCTTCAGCTTCTCAGAGGAACACTCCAGTATATAGTACCTGGCTGGCTTTGTTAAGGACGGCTCAGCCATCATGTTTGAAACTGCTAGAACCATTCTCTTCACAGCAATTTAATCAATAAGGTCTGTTCAAATATTTTTATATACACAATGGAGTCTGACTCTGTCCCTTCAACCCAAACATAGACTCTTTAACTGTCTGGTCTGTACTTGACACTGATATCAAAGGGGTTTTTACAGGCTATTCATTTGAAGACATCACCTCTGGATGTCTCTAAATCAAGACTTTAATCAAAAACGTCATTGGGCATCATATAGAGACAAGTGGAAAAAATTCTACATCCTGAGTGCATCTACATGTACGCATTTACTGCCCAGTAACCAAAATTACAGCAAAGTACAGGCACGTGTCTACACACGCATGCCCGTACTGCACAGTAAATATGGCAACTTACACCAATTTGACCATAAATTTAATGCCTGCATTTGATACTAACTTTAGTCCCAAGTCAGTTCACAAACAACGTTAATGCAATTTAACACTTGCACGTGTAGACACAACTCTATTCCAGATAACTGTGCAGTAACTTACTTCACAGTAAATTTAAGCCAGCATAAATGCATGTGTAGACACGTTCCTTGTAATATACAGAAGATCAGGGTCGATGATGGGCACTTTTGTCCTTAAATTTTATGAACCTATGAATGGTAGGGTGATAGGGTTTGGGAAATGTGGTCCCAGTTACTTCCCAAATCAGCATCTTCCTGCCTCCAGCTTCCCTGTAACTGCAATCAATCATTTGTGTAGGATTGTAATAGATAACAATTGATTGGTTCTGCACTGAAGGTAAAAACTCACCAACATCCATGGCAATATGTTCAACTTAAGGGTTAAACAGCAGGTTTCAGCTGAAAGAGGAATTCTAGCAGCTTAATAGACATGTATAACCAAAACCCACAAAACATAAAACATTTCTCTCCTCTTCTCTCTTATTCATGACTGCTATAATCACAATATGCATATAAATTCAGTAACGCTATTCACTTAACCAACAGGCACTGTATTATTTTTGCACTAACGATTTCCATTTTGCTGTATCCATTGCATAGCATAGTCTGAAAGCCTAGCATTTCCCCTCAAAAGTCTGCACGCCCAAAAATGCACAAATACCGATTTTTAGTAAGGGTCCAAAACATACTTAGATTTTTCCAGGAATGTTTCCCTTTTTCTCCACCCCTAAAACAAAGTAGTTGCTATCACTTTTGTCAGGTTAGGTAATCAAGGAATGTCAGCTGTCCGTAAAAAGCAGAGCACACACTGTATGGTTGATATAGCTAAAGTGTAAATATGCTATCTCAGATTATTATGAAAGGAAGTCATTCCACTTTGACTCATGTAGAAAAGATGTGTATATTTGATATGCACAGATGAGACATATCTTATATGCATTTCATGCGTGTCTAGACTTTAACAACTCAACCACCATCACACTAGATCACACATGAAGTCTAATGTAGAAATGTTAGAAATGCTCTTACTTGTACAGCATTCATATTAACAGTGGTATATATCAGTGAAGTGATCATCAAGAGTGACCACTCTTCATGTTAGTACTCTTGCTAGCTTGCAAAAAAAAAAATCAGGTCAAATTTTCAAAACAGCTCCACAAGAGTCAAATGGAACTACTTCAGTTAAGATCAGGTGAGGTCCTATGCCTTGGTTCCCAGAAAACTCAGAGTGAAACTTTTAGATATGCATATGTCCATGTGCATATTTAGAAAATATCTAGCACTTAATGCTCATAAACAAAAGCCAATCAAGAAAATAAAAACTCCATTAACTACTTGGTCTTTGGATTCCTGCTTGACCCACTTTAACCAAAATGGCACAAATCCGGCAAGGTCTCTGATTGCATTTCTCCCATACAGCTTTGCTCAGCCTTTGTCTCTCCCACCCCATCAGAGGACTAATCACATACCTTGCTAAAGGGCACCATCCTAGGCAGCACCTAATGAGCCCACTTCTGGTATTCCTCCCTAAACTGACTCTGAGCCTTGACCAGTCATGAACCTCTACGGGAAGACAAAAACAATACAAACCAGACCTTCACTAAGGCCTTTTGGAGCCCATCAGTGGGGAGTCTATCATAGCTCTCAGGGAGACAAAGTCCTGGGCAGTCTACAGTGTAGTTCCTTCTTTGCTTGCTGTTCTTCTTTCCTGTTTCTTCCACTACACTCAGCCCAAGCCACTCACCCTATATGCCCAGTCAGTGTCTGCCTCTTTCCTCCCCTTAGAGCCCTATTCCCCCAGTGCTTCTTCTGACTACATCCACTGTGCCCACCCGCTCTCTTCATACTCACTCCCTCAGGGAAACAGATAAATTATAGATCATGACTAGCTATATAATTTATACATATTGTACATTTTAAAAGTATATCTGCCCTTATCCTGCCTGCCAGGGCCTTCTGAGGAATGCACAATGGCTTAGAAAGGAGGATTTTCAAAGACACAAAAAGGCAGTCCAGTTATGTGCTTGTCATTTGTACCTTTGAAAAACCTTCCCTATGGTATCCCCTTTTCTCTGCGACATCCTTATTCTAGAGTTCAACCCCACAAACACTTTCCTGACGTGAATAAGTATTTGCAGGTTTGAGCTGTGGGACTGTAGAAACTTTGCGGTGACAAATCCATTTTTATCTATTCTTTCTAAAGCACCACACACCCATACCACTGGCACTATAAGAATAATTATAAATAAACACACAATAAACAAGATACTCTGGGTGGCAACTGAAAATAAATATTAGCAAATACTAGCTTTTCATACTCATACACATTTACGTGCCTTAAGGCATGATCCAGCCAAGCAATGGGATTACTCATCTGCTTAAGGTTATATAGTTGCTTAAAACCTTGCTGAACCAGCATCTATTTCAAAAAGAAAAATTGGTTTTAAAGTAAAAATTGAAGTAATGGCACAACATATAATAGCAAGCCGACTTCATTGTTTTTTATTTATATAGGGCTAAGTATTGTATGTTTTATTATGGCACTGGATGCATATTGTCATACAGAAATCATTTAAGTCAAAACAGCTTTAATGTCCAGTATACATAAATAGCAAAGTCCTAGCTGTGTAAAGAGCAATAATAAATGTCATAATGTTGCCTTGAGGTTTAATGGCCATGCAAAGATTCATATTGTGCAGGCTATTTGCTTTTATAAGTGAGCAAGCTATAATAATAATGCAGGTTGTTAATAGAAATAAGAACTGACTAATGCTGGCAGAGACATCAGAAAGTGACCTAAATATTCCCATTCACAAATAAAATGTGGTAATCTTTGGCTGATCACCCACACAGCTCTGCAAGGTTGCCCCACACATTTTTCTCTCCATATCCCTTTTCAAGACCTGTATCATTATGGCCATAGAGTGCAGTCCACGTTTTACATTCTTTTAGTGCAAAATAATGCCTTTCTGAGCTGTTGCTACTCACTCAGCATAAATCAGCCAAGGTCTGTGTTTCATAGAAGCACAGAAGAGCTTGTCTCCTACAATCATTTTTACAAGTACTACTACCTGTACCTGTGGGCAACTGAATATGACCGTACTCAGACGTCCTATTTATTGTTTGTTGTAGTTTGCCTAGAGAACATGAGCTTGCTGCACTCTTGTTTTCTTGCTCCTTAGTGTATAAAAGGATGAACTTTTTGTATCTAACACACGTATGCTCTGGCAGAATGAAAAATCTGTAGCGGCAGGCCAAATACCTTTTGCCAAGGATAAATAAAATACTTGGTTATGCTCTTGCCACTTCTGTGAGTTGCTGGAAGAGACATCACTCATACCCTTTTCGCACACTTTAGTAAAATCCCTGTTGGCCTCTCTACCACCCACCCTCACTTCTGAAATATCTGCAGCTACAGTAAGTTAAATGTGCACTCTCTGGGTTCTTCCTGCTGCTTTGATTGCTTTGGCAGTGAACAGTTGGTACCGCAAGTACCCAATAAGTTGCAGGAACTGTCTGGCATGTAACAAAGCTAGATATTAATCTTCTCTCCACTTCTTCAGTGTAAATGTTACATTTCTATTTTATACTGTTGTGAATTTCTAGGGGAATGCAGATCTTTCAGCACAGGAGATGTTTTAAATTGGCAGTGTTACTATCAGAGAGCTGATTTTGCCACCATGAATAACAATGGTAATTACTGGACACATCTACATGTTCATTAATGCACCACAGTTACTGCGCATTTAGTTTAGTACTCCCTTAATGAAGTACTAACTGAATGCACATTAACTACATTTACTGTGCAGTAAGTAGTGCCAGCACATGGTATTTTTGTGACAAGTACTGACCGGTAGCCTAATAACGCTAAGCAGTAGTTTATTAGTATGGTCTTTGACCAGCACACTACTGCACAGTGTTATTAGGCTATAGCACAGTATGTGTCTCATGTAGACGTGCCCAGTGGGTACTAAACTGGGCAACACCTACTTCCACTGGTGACCAG